TGCTACTACTGCTACTACTACCACTACTGCTACTACGACGACGACTACTACTACGGGTACTGTTAACACTGCCTTTGAGGTGCTTGCTTTTTAATACCACGGTTAGTAATACCACGCCATGGTGCTTGTACTACAGATAACAACAATAATGGCAGTGACAGGTGTAGTAACAGTAATACATCTAGTGCCAGCAAGCATGGCAATAATAGCAGTAGTGGTGCGAGGAAGCACAGTTAACGGATATCAAGACCATATCACTAGTAGCAGTCGTGGTAATGGTAGTAATATTTGTAATAATAGTGTGGACAAGGATGATAGTGATGAAAACAAGAATAGCAGCATCGGTAAAAACAACACTACAAGCAGTAGTCGTAGCAACAATATTTGTTTACAAGAAGAACAGCAGTGATAAGAGCATTAACAGCAATAATAGTGGTAATGGTCGAGTCAGAAGAGTAACAATAACGAGAATAGCATAGTAATGACAACATCAATACTCGCAAAGCAGCTTCTGACAGGTCCTCTTGCGCCCCTCAAGTGTTTCACCCTTCCACCTGTCCCCGTGTTCAACCCGGAAGCTCCAAGGGTTTGGGTTTAGGGTTTTATAGGGTTTAGGGTTTAGGGTTTAGGGTTTAGGGTTGCTGCTCCGTGTCCATGAGAACACAACTTCTGAAGGAGACAAAGAAGCCAAAGTACGCCGTCAATCCCAACAAGTATTTGGAGGACGGCGAGGCAGAGATATGGCTGTGCTTAGAATTTTGGTCGTTTGGACGGATCTGAAACGAGGCTGTTTGGCTGTATTCCGTCGAATTGCATTCTCACTGTGCCGCGTGCAACCAGAGGGCAGCGCTGAGGGCGAAGATGACGAAGAGGAGGATGTTCCAGAGGAGCTGTCTCCCAAGCGTCAAAGCATGTCAAAGCTGCGAAGCCGTGGAGTCCGTGGGGTCTAGCAGCGCAGGACCTAGCCGACCTGGAGCCAGAAGAGCAGCAGAAGCGGATTAAGCCTGCTCCCGAGCCCTGTACTACAAGCTTCCCGAGCTGTTTCGCGGTCGTGCTTGAGGACCCGCGCTGCTTATCAGATGGCGCTCGGGACGCTTCTGGCAGGGCACCCAAGATGCACCGGTCTCTTGGAGATGGTTCGTCGGGGTTCCTGAATCGAAGGTCCTTGTGTTCTCTGACCCAATGGTTGATCTGCTTGCCGAACTAGGCACTGGCACCTGCTCACGACAAACCATGAAATCCTAATGTTTTTTTTTATTCTGTCTCTACAGATGCCTGCACCTTCAGACCTGGACTCGCGAAGCTCTGCAGGAAAACGGCTAGATGTGTCTGCCTTCTATATCTCATTTGCAGCGACCTCGGCCGAACCTCACTTCTGGCGTACATGCTTTCATTGGCACCTTCTTGCCTTGTGCATGGGCTAGCTGTTGAGGTGCTGGCGCCTCTAGCGTCAAACGCAAGCGAGCTGGTGGCAGCGTGGGCGCTGTCATGGAAGAGCAAGCAAAAACTGAACAAAGACATGTCCTGGGAGGTACAACTATGCCAAAAAGAGGACGTGCAAGTCCATCACCACCTCTCTGAGCACCCTCGAGGTGAGTGGGGCGGGTGCTTCCTCGGCTTTCGGACAGACTTAGTTCTGGGGCGCTGTGGAATTCAACGGCGACGGCATCTACGAGCAAAGCGCCCCTTCCTTCTTTTCCAACCGTTCCAGGGGGCGGCCATCATGAACAACACCTTTTGCCTTGGCATCTTCCTGGGCCTGGTGTGGCCCTGCTGCAAGAAGGCTCAGGGCATGATGTGTGCATTTGGTATGGGCGTTTAGAGAGTGCATGTCCGTGCTGTGCATGATGCCAGGATCCTTGCCCAGTCTGAGTAAGTTGCGGTAGGTAGCATGCTTGGTGCAGCCAGAGATGCAGCTGCCCAGGTACTTTCAGAATCTAGCACGGGACTCAACTCAAGCGCTGTCATGTTTTGTTATCCTTCACGCGAGCAGTGTTTTCCGTTTGGCCCATCCACACTGCTTGTCTGAGGCATGGGAGTTCTCAGCCGAGACCACCTCCATCCTTTTGATCGAGGCTTCCGCAGTCTGCGACATGTAGCAACGCAGGCGTCACCCCAGTTGCGAGCCACCCGTGGCCTGGTTCCCCCCGGCAAGTCTGTGCTCAGATGAGCAAAGGTGCTGGCTAAGCGTGCTCCCAGCGACAAATCTGAAGAAGCCGTCCACAAGTTCGAACATCCAGCATGAATTAATCACCACCGAAAGTCAGTGCCCAAAAGGGCAGCTGATGCACTGACGCCTGGAAGGCATGGTGGTGTCTCGCTGCAAAGCGTTGCACCACACCCACTTCCCGCTCATCGTCCATCTACATTTGGTAAATATTGTCTGAGATGGAAATCCTGGACAGCTTCTGCTACGACAGCAAGGACTGCAGCGACAGCAAGGACAGCAAGGACTACAGCATCAACAACTATCGCTGCTGCTGGTGCAAATGCTGCTGCTGCTTCTGCGAAAAGCTATCTGCCTGGAGTCTTTGTTGGTATACTCACTTTCGCCTTTTACTCGTATTGTGTCGAAGATGTCTTGCAGCCGGTGTGGGTTCGGGAGATTGACAAGCTAAGACCCTCTCGACCTCCCAGTCTCAGCAAGCACTGGAGCAACGGTTTCTTGTGGTGGTTGTGGACAAGTTCACAGTGGCCGTTGAAGGTTGAAGAAGCAGAAAATGTGCATGCAAAATCATGCAGACGCCTGCAAGAGTGTCAATCTATATTTCGAGACTGGGCATCGGTGTTCCAACATGAAGGTTTCAGCGTCGTCGCTCAATTTGCGAACCCGAGTTTTAAATAATGCGATGTGGTAATGCCAGGTACTTGACGCACGAATGAAGAGTATGTTTGATGATGCGTTTGCGTTCTTGGGTCATGGCGTCGAGGGCGCACCATCTAGCTTTGCCGTTTGCGGTGGTCGGAAGGCTTCCACGCGAGTGGATTGTCAGCCAATCTTGAGTTTTTTTGAGCAACTTGCATTTGTCATCCACGTGCGCCCTTCTTCCGTCAAGTCATTCTGGCAGGTGCTCATGGCTTTGAGCATCCTTTTCCGCCGAGTCCATAGACTACTCGACGCGCTGTGGGCTTGGAATTGCCTCAAGAACAGACGTACATGTGCAATTGAAGACACAGTCCAAGTCGTTGATAACTGCGAGTTATATATGTAACAAGAGTAAAGTAAAGATCAGTGCGGCAGAGTCGTGGCTCTCCGGGTTGCTAGTGTTGAGTCAGTGCTGAGAAGGGTGTGTGGCAAGCCGGAGCTGAGGTTTTTCATCCTCAGTCTGTACCCACTCTGCTTGGCTACCGTCTACGTGCTCCGCCCAGCCATTCGTGCGGATACATGCAAAAATGGAATTGCAGATCTTTGCGTGAATGGATGAATGATTGGGTAGTCTTTGTATGTCATTGTGTCGGCGCGCATCTGCCCAAGCTCACCGCGATGTGGTCGATCGTTGACTAAATCCCACCCTCTCTCACAAGTAGTCTTAGCCCCTTGAGCTGGAGGGTAAATCACGGAGGGCTGGCTATTCGCACGTTCCGTGCAGCAGTCTTGCAACCTGGCCAAGTCTACAGCAAGCGAACAGTCTTCACAGACTTGGGCCTCACCTGTTTCACGTCATGCATAGAGTTGAGTTATGTTAAGCCGTGATCAGGTCCACGATGTCCACGGATGCTAGTCGTTACTACATATGGCATTTGAACACACCGTGGGACGAGTTTTGTGCTCAAGCGACGCGCGCCTTTCTTCTCAGACTCCTGCGTCCAGGTCCTGGAAAACTATGTTGGATGGGATTGAGAGACCTGCAGGTGCATTGATTTAGCATTCCAGCATAGAGCGCAGAAGATTGCGCGCTTTAAGAGGGCTTTGTGAGGCCTTAGAGGCTTGAGCCAGCCTTGTATATCATTGTTTTACTTTCGTTGGTCTGACAGTCTTGAGCCGCGTGGCCCCACTAAGCATGCTCGGCTCGTGCACCGCGGCATGCCATCTTTGCCTGCAAGAGAGTGCCTGGCCCGGATGTAACCTGTCACGCTTGAACTTGAGAGCCGCGTTGCTCGTGCCCAACCCCTGCTTGGTCTCGGGGCAGCCGGTGGCTCCCTGCATCCATGGCGTAGCGCCATGTCCGTCTGGTGCTGGAAAATCTAGTGCCTGTACCTTACAGCTCACTGCGCTTTCAACTCAGACGAGTTGCGGTCAAAGAGGAGCGGAAAAAACCACATGCTTGTTTGCAGCGTGTCACTTCTGTTCTGCAAGCTGCCATGGGTTGACAGATTACGCACGGACGGTCTCTCGGCCCAATCAGGAGCCAACAGGCTTTTAGAGCTCTCAGGCTTCTGTGCATAAAGAGGCACCTTCTGTGTTACACCATTCTATTTTGCAGATGTCTACCTGGACCTCCCTTTGTTCTGGCACTGTGTTTTTTGTCGATTGATGAGTTTGATTTCGTGTTTGCAGATTTTTGGAGTGCAGCAAAGACACATGGGTGACATGGAAGACATCATGCATGCATGGCTGAAGAACAAGCGTACTACACGTACACCAGCATTGAGATGGTAATCCTCTACGATCCTCTACCTTCTCCACTATTAAATACACCTCAAGGTGTAGCAGAATCACGAGATATAGCCTCGTGGCCGGAATGAACCGATGAATGCCGATGATGTCATGCATCCTCTTTCTGCTTTCGGTGGTGTCTGCGCAAGACACCGCGTCGCTGGCCCCGCTGGCCCCGCTGGCTGCGACCTCTCCGAGCCCGAGCGGTCCGAGCCGGAGGTTGGGCGCATTCGATGCTCACACAGGCGATCGGCAGGAGGCGGGTGAGGGCAGGCACTTGGTCGTCCTCGGCGCAATCCTTGCTGGAGCATGCATTTTCTCGGGCGTGATACTCGGCTTTCTGCTGCTTTCTTCAGTGGCCGGGCTGGCGGTGCCTTTACTGGGAGCGCTCCCATCGACATCCGCGGCCGTCTTCGCAATGCAGGTCCTGGCTGTGGGGTCAACTTCGCCTCTCAATGACCTGGCTGTGCCCCTGCGCTGGATGGCCCCGCAGCCTGACTCCATGCTGGTGGGCTGCATCCTTCTGCTCGCCTTTGTGTGGCTGGCGCGGCGCGCCGCTTTGCGCTTGCATCGCAAGCAGCTCGACCAAAGCTCCGCGCAGCCCCACGGTCTGTCTCCCGGCTCCTGGGAACTTCGCGCTTTGGGGCTCGTCGCCTTCCCGCTGGCGGCAGCAAGCACACAGTTGGCGGCAAGCCTGGATCAGGCAGACTCGGCTCTGGCCGGGCTCGTGGTCTCCACGGTGATTTTGTGTTTTCTCACAAACCAGGCAGTCTTGGCCTTCCGCTTCCTACACCAGGCCTGGCCGGGGAGAGCGTCAGAGTCTGAAAGAGGCAGAGACCCGCCAGGTGCTGGAGGAGGGCAGCGTGACGCGCACGCCGCTCCCGGCAGGCCCTGGTCAGGTGTTCATCGACAAGCGCTGCGACGAGCTCAGGGCTCTGCCCCTGGGTGCCTCGCCTGGGGAGGCGATGTCAGAGTGGCTGGGGACTTCGGGCTGGTGGGTGGCTCCGTCGGTGGCTTTGATCGAGGAGACAGAGTGGACAGACGAGGCCATGGAAAGCTTTCGAGAGCGGATGGCGCACTCCAGCCTTGAAGTTGCGGAAGACAGCATCCGGCAAAGAGTCCCTCGATATGATATTGTCTGCTGATTTACAGGCAGTCAGGCCCGCCTTTTCCTTGTGTTGCTTTCAATTGTCAGAGTTCTATCGCAAGAGTTTCACACGGGCGTAAGAAACATTGACAGTCTAGGCTCCAGACTCACTGGATGACGAACTGCAAGATCAGCCATTGCTGGAGGCAAGAGTTTGAGTGAAGTCTGCAACTCCCGGAGGCAGCATCTCCATGGATCTGTAACATGGTCCGTGAGCCCCTCCAGCATGTGAGGGACAGGGCTGGTGCACAGAAGCCCCAAAGCTGGCCTTGGGAAGGCGAAGTCCGAGGGTGCGGACTCCACTGGCGATGGCACACCGAGCACCCTCCCAGAGCCACAGGCAGGGCCTCTCTGTGTGCTGGCAGAAGGGCCGGGCCTCGGCCGACTGGACGAGGTCCTCGCGTGACACACGTAGCCGAAACACCTCCCATCATTCCGCATCCTCGGTCTTGGGCCTTTAGGCCTTCTGGCACTTCGCTCGTTTGAAAGCAGGGGACGCGTCTGACCCAAATTCCAGTGTAGCCATGAAGCCACGGTCAGTCTTGCAGGTTCTGTTTCGGGGTGGGGCGAGCGCGGTCAAAGAATGCCACCCGCTCACTGTGCAGCCGGTCGGCATGAGTGCAGTTTGGGCTCTGGGTCACAGTCACAGTCGCACTTATGCAGATTTTCCCCAGGAAGTCCAGGGTCTGCTTCGATGGCCCGGCGAGGGAGGCTTGTGCAGGCCAGTCTCTCGAAGTCGAGCGCTTCAGCTTCGGGTCTTCGGCAGAGCCAAAACGATGCGGAAGGGGTAGCCGGGTAGGCAACATGTAGCTTGGCACAAGCCTTTCTGACGTAAACTATGCGGCATGACTGGTGTACCCGGAAGTCTTGTTTTGGACTTTGACTGTAAGGCGCCACAGCTCGGCATTAAATTCGGCCTCTTTCTCCAGTCAACTCTTAGAGTCTTAGAGCTCTTCAGACTCGCCTGGCCGAGGAGTTGCCTGCCTTCCCTGGCTGGACTGTGCGGTGCCCTCCAGTGCGATGCTCGCCTCAACAGATCCAAGCCTTCGGCACAATAAGCAAGCATCCGATAGCCGCAAGCCTCGACTATCCAAGAGCTGTCAAGAAACAACAACCATCTCTCCTCAACGTGAGAAATCAGGCAACAAAGACAGTGTTAATCTCTAGCTCCGAATCAACGCGTCAGTCAGTGCTTCTGCGAGGCTGCGAAGGGTCGAAGACTTGTCTGGCCTCGAGCTTACCACTACCACGGTCAAAGTTCCGGATTTTTTTTTGCTCCCCGAGTGTCGGCTACATTGGAAGCGAAGGGCTTTCTGTTGAGATTGACATTGCCGCTTGCGATTCACTCGCTTTCG